CTGGCTTGGTTTAGCTCATATCTCTCAGATCGCTCCCAGGTAGTACAAATCCAATAACATAAATCTCAACACAAGGCTGTTACCAGTGGGATGGTACAAGGCAGTGTTCTTGGTCCATTGCTATTTCTACTTTACGTTAACGACGTCTTCAGTGTAGTTAAATGCGGCACACCTTATCTTTTCGCCGATGACATCAAAATAGTGTACTCCTTCCATCTTACCAACCTCAGCAATACTCTAATGGAAATCCAACTGGACCTCCATGCGCTTGAGGCTTGGTGCAACAGATGGAAAATGTCTTTCAGCACTGACAAATGTAGCGCGATGTTATACAGGTGCAATGTTAAGCACAATACTCTGACCCTAGATAGCAAACCACTTACTATCTGTCAGACCATCTGTGACCTAGGGCTTCGCTACTCATATTCCCTTAACTTCTCAGAACAAGCATTTTATGCAACAGCCAGAGCTAAACAACGCATTGCATTACTATTCAAAAATCTTACTCTACGCGATTCAATTTGTTCAATGTATGAATCATTCGCCCGCCCTTTACTTGAATATTGCTCAATAGTGTATAGCAATTCCAGGAAGCATGATCGTATCGCCATAGGAAAGGTACAAAGAGCGTTTACAAAGCGCCTTATTTTTACGAGCTTAGTGTTACCCTATTCTGAGCGATGCGACCTACTTAAGCTTGACCCAATATGGCTTCGACGCCTAAAAGTAAACTTAGCACTTTTTTTCAATATCCTGCACAAAAAAGGGTCCACACCCCTAGCATTGATCTATCACTCATGAAACCAAATGGTTACAATACACGCAATAGAGAAAATTCTGTGATGGTAAGAAGGTCAAAGACAAACATATCAGCAAACTTTTTCCTAAATCGGTACTCCCGTATCTGGAACAAATTGCCGACCGATATTCGTACTGGCACATCTGAGTATAACTTTCGTAGAAAGCTTGACGAATATCTTACAGTCAGCAATGTGATTATGCTCCTGCGCTGCCCTACAACTATTCAACAAACGTATGAACAAGGTCCAGACAACATATAACTGAAAGTTGCGAATGACTGTATCAGTCAGCTCAACAAACACCCGTTGATTCCCTGCTTACCCTTCTCTTTTATTGCCCACTCCGGATCTGCCTGCCCGAAAGCTCACCGCTGATTAGTGGCTCCACTGATACATCGATGGGTTGGAGGTCCAGGCTTCTGTTATCCTCTTCATCCCATCTTGGCTCACTATACTTCCCCTTGATTTTACTTGGCTCCACTACAACCATGTGTCAGTTGAATCACTGGCAACTTGGTTAGCTGGACTCCCAAATCCGGTTAACTATCTCTCCAATCGTAACTTCACTTCCGTTTCACCCGCTGGCACACCTACCATTCGTTTGTGAAAGCACTGACGCTTTGGTAGGTAAAGCACCCGGATCTTTTCTTTACATCTTCAACCCACCTTGCTCCCCAACACTTAGCTTCGGTTTTCACTTGACCATATCTTGCTGGTGAATCAACCGACACATTGCCAACATCGATATGTTGCCACTCAGGGCTACTGTAACCTCGTAAACATATCACTGGCGTTCTGTTGGACCAGTTCCCTGCATAATCAAGCTCCTAGCGCAGTTAGCCAAGCTACTAAAGGTTCGGCATTCTTGTTCACAGCCCACAACCCACACATCTTAAGTAATCCGAAATCCATATTGCGCCTCCTAATTGTAAACAACATCTGCAATACAATTATAACGTAGTTGCTTAAATATTTCCCTTTTTCACTGTGCAGTAATGTGCTTATTTTTCCCTGTTAGCCAGACCCATACTGCTGTTCCTTATGCTGAGTCCAGAAATTTGGTTGCGAGACCCTCCCCACACTATATTATTCTCGATTCCACACATGTACATAATTCCCTAGGAAGTTTTCAACCTCCATCGCACTAATACTTACTAATACTTGCTATTTCCCTTCTATTTACGTTGATCCGGACCACAACTCGTTCAACGGTACGATGAGATACTTGCTACCGAAGAAAGTTGGATCTGCATAAGAATAAACTACAACTTGAATCCAATCCCACTCAATACGAATCTCCTCGCGTCCGATAAACAATTTCAGTTTCAGAGAAAACTTGTACACAATGATCGGTCCAGGGTCTCTGGAACGTGTCTCACCTTTCTGAGAAATATACCTATTATTATTATTATTATTATTATTATGATAAGGCTCCTACACTTGGCGAACAGTATACTGGTGTGTTTCTCCTAAGACCTCTCTACCTCAGGTTGAGCTGGTCACAAAAGTCCCGGGGGATTCTTACCTAACTGAAATCAGCATAAGGGAGACACAAGTTTTCGGGCTATTGCAAGGGGTACATCCCTCCAAAGCTTCTGACTCTGATTCAATTCGTCTGAATCTGATGCGTAAATTGGACGCTGAACTAAGTGGCCCTCTCACATGCGTGTTTACAATGTTGCTCGAAAGCTGTGCCTTATCTTCGGAATGGAAGGAGGCAATTATCTGTCCCATTGTTAATGGCGGTGACAGAGCTCTGCCCGCGAACTGTCGTCCTGTCAGCTTGGCAAGCGTGGTAGTTAGGTTGTTTGGAGAACTAGTCATGGATTCGGCTGAGAACCACCTGAATAAGTTTAACCTTCTCAGTACTGCACAGCACGGATTCCCTAAGGGATTTTCTTCGCTGACAAATTTACTTGTGTTAGGAAAATAACCATTTGACACTTATTTTTGGTATGAAGGAGGTTAATGGCCATTCTTTATTCTTCCTATTTTCTACATCTTGACTGTTGTTTAAACGCTCCACTGTGTTAGCCCGATTGGTACACGCACGGCATTGGTAACGGACGCTCATCGTGTTATTTGCAGCGGTGACATCTGCAAGAACACATTCCATTGGGTTTTCTCCACATCATTTTTCTACTTGGTTATGTTAAAGGAATAGTTAGTTGTCACACAATTATTTACTAAATTTTAATTTTTGGGTCTGCATTTCTTATTCTCGTTTGTCTCGTGACATTTGTTTAAACGCTACAATTCGTTATTCTGACTGACCAGTGTCCGTCACTGTAAATGGATGTTCGCTTTACGCTTGGGGTCCCATGATGCTACTTTTAAGGACATATGCGATTCGATCTTGATTATACGGTTGCTTATTCGCCCGTTGCATTTGACGTTTTTCCTTCTGTTGGTTGGCTAAAGTGTAATTTAGTAGTTTCCCTTCAATTTACCTTCAAACTATATAAGTAAATGTGATTTCATGTATACAAGTCTCTCTTTCCGGCTCGTCTTTGGACTTCTTCTTGCGGTCTTAGGGTGAAGTCCTCAGTGGCGACACAACAACTTGTAGCTCGTGAAAGCTGGACTGAGGCAGTAGACAACGGTCACGCTATCAACCTGCTTTCCTTGAATGACTTTTATTGCACCTATGTAGAGAATGGACCGCATGATGTTAATAGGGTGGGCATATGAGCAAAGAACTTTCATCGACCGACTTATTAGCATCTGCTCATAAGGGGGTTGAATAAAGCGGGATAAAAGGTGATGTTTCCTTTCACTTCTGAGAAAGCGCTGCATTCAGGTGTGATAAAGTACACGCTTTGTTGATTCAGGAAGAGAGAGATCGTGCAGTCACCATTGCTGTAGCTGGGGAACTGGGAAGTGTGAGAGAATTCCGATGAAATGCAGCGTGTATTAAGAGACGGATTTACTGGACATTACAGTCTGTTTTGTCCATTCGCAGACAGTGTCGTAAACAGATGCGTAAAGGACAGAAATGACAACCTTACCCTTCCCGTGTTCGATGTGGAATAGCTGCGAGGAGCTTGAGAGAAGTGGGGTGGAACAGCACCTTTTGGCCTGTTCGTCCTACTGGTGCTGAGCTTAGACACACTGGGAAATGGAATCCCATACCTCTGCTATTGCGATGCTCCAACGAGGTGGAGCGAGAACAACCGGTTAAGCGAACTGGTCCAAAGCCCAGTCCCTAAATCCGCGGTCATGTCACGTACTGCTATTGACTGATTCAGCAAATCAATTTATCTTGAGGGCAAGCGGAGGTGAAGTCGGTGGTTTTAGATCGTAGGCGGAGTTAAGCTTAGTGGGTACAACGTCTACCGTGTTGTTAGCATCCTCATAATCGAGGGGATCGTAAGCACAGAACATCTCATATCTCCACTATCAAGTTCATCAATGGCTATTAATGTTGCGTGTGGTGGTAAGATACCATATCAATCATGCTAGTTACCTGTCGACTGGCGAGCTGAACAAAAATGTGCCGACCGTCAAAGAGCTCATCAATCGCCGCCGGTCGAGCAGCAACACCTACACGTATGGACTGCGGTCGTCATCAGGTGTGTGCAGTGTCACGAGCCCTGTGGTTTATACCTTACTTGTTGAATGCAACGAGCAGAGGTATTTGCGATTTGACCTAAAGAGGCTGCTCAGTTCTCTGAATTCCAGTGAAATGAAACTGGGTAGACTGAGCCGCGCTAAATCGCACTAATTCACCTTGGTTTCTGCAAATTCATGCCAAGAGGACCTAATCCGAAAGTAAGTAAGCGTAAGGTCATGGGTTCCATCCCCATTGGGATCAAATGAAATGGGGACAGCTGACAACTCCGGAAAAAGATGGAACTGTACTCCAGTCTTTTCACTGATAGCCGATAAACGCCTAAGTGAGTCTAATTGTGATGAATTCAATGTATATGATGCACTCTGAATGGTGTCGTAGTAACCCTCCGACTTCAAGATCTGACCCAAAGTTCCACCTGCTGCACAAGTTTTCAAGTCGATTCACCGGCTACAGCAGATTTATGGACGAAGTACCCACTGTGTGTTTGTGTTGTGATGAGCAGTTATGTTTGTGGAACTCATTTACACTGAGGTAAGATAGGGTTAGCCGAGTCCGGCTCGAATCTAAGTTGAGTCGTATAGTGGTTCGTGGATACACTCACAAATAGTGTCGTCTATAAATGGCTTTTACTCCCACCACACTATGTTACAAAAATAATCAGCGGAGCCAGTGCGCATGAAGCGAAAACACGGCCTTGAGCTCACCAGTTCGATGTCCAAATGAAATGGTGGAAAACTCGAAGTGTAACATTCTCTCAGTCTCCCTACCTGTCTCACTGCGTTCTCCGTTTCTTCCAAAATTGCTGCCTGTTCTTCCACATCCAGTTCAAACTCTTGCCGGCTAATGCGTTGAACTTCGGGCAGTTTTTCGTTCTCGGCCGCCATTGTGTTAATCTAGGGAGTAGTGATTGCGACAAAACAGTTACTGCTCTGCAGACATCTAAGTAAAATCATGATAGTGGGACCATGAAACATCAAAACACGCTGGTAATAGGTCCGATACCAGTAGGCATAAAGTTTTGTTTTGGTACAACACAATTTAAAATAGAATCATTATCATTAGAACAAAACAGATAAGCAATGAAAGTTGAAGAAGCACATGAATGCCTTTTCGTCTTTTCTGTACTCAGCAAACAAAATAAGGGGTCCAAAATCGCACTGATGACGAATTCCTCGGGGACAGAAAGGTTGTACACAGACACTCCGGATGCGAGGGCTTTTTAACGTGAACCATCTATGGTAAGCTCCGTTTCAGCCATTTATACACCCTTACAATTCCCGGAAAAATGCGTGTACTAAGTAACGAGCTAAACCTGGTAGACCAGCGAGCGACTTTCGCAATGTCCATGGGGCACAGGTCTCCGCATGAAAGAAAACGTGTGCTGGTCACGAAGAAACCTTTAAGGCTTTTCCGTTTGTGGATGACAGTCTAAATGGGCCTAGTTTTGGTAATTCACATTTAAAGTTTTAGACTTTCCTTTCTGCTAACTGTAAGAGTTTTTATTTCTCGGTTGAGTGCGTTTATGCGATTGTATCCGCTACACTTTGAAAGGCTGAGGATGACCTTTGAACTGAAGTAAGAATGGTCTCGGCTTTAGTTGTGACTACAGCGGTGTTGTTACCGGATATGTGTTTGCTAGCCCCTCCAATGGATTGTATAGAGGCACTGAATGTGAAAATGATTATGCAGTATCTTAGCAAGGCCCACTTGTTGCATTTGGGGGCCAACGTCGAGAAAGGATCTGGTTGTCGGTCGAGCGATCTGGTAAACCATCTACATAGGGCGTGCGTTAATCCATCGGCCTTATTACAAGACGAGCGATTGCCTTCGAAGTTTTAAACTCACACCTCCTTTTAGGCGTCTTAGTGGATACTAAAGGAATCAGAGGATCTATTCAGCAACCAACGAGATCCAACGAAATGGTCGAATAGGCAGAAATCTGGGAAAGTGTGAGGCATCCATTATGGACGAAATATGATACATGCTAATGATTGTATTATTACGAGCTGTTTAAACAAAGGCAACCCGTTGACTTTCACAGCTGTACCCTGCGTGAGGCACAGTACACAAAATGTGAAATGTGTAGCTCTTATTGTGCAGATGGAGATGGTTCAACTCACTGTTTGAATGCGTCAAGTTGGAGGAACATTGGAAGCATGATATCTAGCACGAACACCGTAAGATAGAAGACGACAGGGGGTACGCGCACTGTTATCGAAGACACGAGTTACTGATAGGCGATAGGCGCCCCCATTCAGTTATGCAAAGACAAGATGCCTACACTTTCCCAAGAGCATCTGACCCACCGACAACTCTAAATAACTCCTTTAAAGCCTTAACCTCTCTCGGTCATGCTCAGCTTTGCTCCAAAGACAACTCAGTGTCAAAGAAACAGCCACGGTGGCCTGCCAACATGGTTCATGTTTCGTTGACTCAAGTCAATGGCTCTCTGGAGTAAGACAACGGATACGGACCCGGTAGAAATCAGCGTTCGCAAGCCGCTAATAAGCCTGACAAAACGGGGCTAGGTCTGCCACTTTCCAGATGTATGATGTTCTTCTGACAGTCTGGCTGTCGCAAGCAACTTGTCTAGATTTTTGGAAGATTATGACACCGTCCATTGTTTGTTCTGCGCTAATGTCACCAACTGATGGTTATGAGCCATGCCACGTAGGGTGTGTCAGGGTATTGTCAATGCACTCTTTAAATAGTGATTATGTAGGTCGGCGGAAGCCAATGACTACTCGTGAACCGGAACAACAACAAAAACGGGATAGTAGGAAATTCACAACGGGCGCAATGGATGAGACGTGACAAGCATCTGCGAGCGTTGCGGATCGACCCGACAGCGGATCACGGGCGGCATCTGATAACGAGTCTGAGCTCAGAACAATGGAGGAGGTATTTGTTGCGAACACAATGAATCAGACAAATACGCAGCTAGCAAAGTCCACAGGAGTGAACGCGGGTCGAGTGATGCAGCCACGGGAGAGCAAATCGTGAGCTTTCGAAAGACTCAAGGCCGGCCAGAATCGGAAGTAGCGGGGCGGAGCTACGTGATGGAAAGATGGAGCGGTAGTCTCGAAGCCCAAACTCGTAGGCACCTGCAATGGCCCTATTGTAACGCTGCCCTTTGCCTCTCTGTCTCGCCCCGCTACCAACCAGCCGGGGAAAATAAAACGCCGAGCCTGCTAGACCAAAGTATATTAGGCACAAAACATGTCTGCTTTTATAGGTCACATACGCTTACCTCGCCTCTATCACTAAGGTGAGTCACACCGCTGGTCTGAACATATTCGACTCTGGTAGCGGCCATCTCTCTCTGACTGTGGGTAGGATCACGTCCGCAACATAGCAACCCATGCGGCGACGACGGTCTGATTTCGTCAGCTTCCGGTTTGACTATGACAACGAGCCTGTCAGCCGCTCACGTGATCTGGCCGATCTCGCCCCGCTAGTGTGCACCATCGTAGTCAGCTGTTTCGCCTCCGTAACAGGTCCACCACACAAATCGTCATCCGCGTTGCGCCCTGGGAAGGAAAACGGTCCTAATCTGTACGGGTTTGTGAGTTGTCAGTGGCACTTTCTTGTGACAATGCACGCTTTGCCCCCCCCCCGCGTCGTTTTCGCTACAATAAGGTAAGGAGACCAGGTGCGCTAGGGGGCGTTACAGGGCTTTGACACATGATGGAGAAAGTGTTGCGACGACATTCCAGTCGGCTACACCACGTGCCTAGCTTAAACTGATGGTTCCTAAGATATGTGTTTTGTCTGAGTTTCAAAAGATGATGGCCAGAGTGGTCGGGATGTTTTAGGATCTGATACACCATTATGGGTTTGCACCTTAGACGCCGATAACGTCCGCTGTACACTTTTAGAGTTTTCAGACTGAGTTGGTAGGGAAGGCTGGACGAACATTTGATATTCTTCGTCGCCCTGCTTTGTGCAGTGCCGAGCGCAATGTAGTGGTGCTTCTGCAAGGGTTGAAACGCTCGGCTAGCGTATTATGCGTGCAATCTCACGCACGTACCAAGTATCTTAGAAATAAAAGAGTGTATATTCTCAATGTTACAAGAGGCACACTGTGGTGCCGTACTTCCCGAACAATATACGGAAGATGGTGAAGTGCCTGTTTGCTTCCTTTGAAATCTTCTTAGTCTGCCACAAACGAACTAGGTCGTCTTGCCCGAGCATGCCGTGATGGACTCATGAGAATCCCACGGCAGAAGTTGTGGACTAAGCTGGTAGTTGTGGGAATTCTGATGGCCTATGCTCAGACCATTGCATCTTGGAGCGTTGAACTACAGCATGTTCTTAGGTAAACCATGTGTAAAGCTTTATCCAGTCATTTTGTAGAGCAATGTGCTACTTCACTGTAGTAATAGCACGCCATAATTTTAGGTCTTTGGCGAATATTGGGAGATTCGAAGATATCACCTTTGCGAGATCATTTATGAAGAGCAGGAACAGGCGGAGACCTAGTATCGGACCTTGAGGTACGCAGTACTGGATTTCGATCGGGTCGGCTAAGCGCTGCAGACTCTCCCATTCAGGTGATGTTGAGGGAGAAAGCCGTCTATCCAAACCAGAACGGGACCGTAGATCCCAAACTTTTGAAGCATGTGAAGTAAAAAGCGATGGTCCAGACGGTCGAATGCTGTTGAGAAAGCCAAATAGGTGCTATCTAGTCCTACACCAGCATCCACAGATTCCGTCCAGCACACACGACCTATCAACAGGTTAGTAGCACAGGACCAATTTTGGTGAAAACTGTGCTGCTCCATAATGATAAATTTGTTACTCCCCAGGTACCTCATGAAAGCCTCCGCGACAGTACACTCCAACATCTTGGAGATCACCGGGCGATAATTACCTGGTTCTGCACAGCTACCACTTTGGTGGATTAGACTAAAGATCCCGTGCTTCCATATCGTGGGGATCTGCATCTCTTTACAAATTCATTGAAAGAATATTGATAGTGGTTCAGAAAAACTCAAGGCAGCCACTTTCAACACCTTTGGGCTAATGCCGTATGCACCAGCCGAGCTGTACTCGTACAAGGAAATCAGCCGCTTTAGTACATCTGTGATTATGGAAGATATATGATTTAGCCGTGAAGGCTGCATGATATGCGTAGGCAGGATGTATAACGATTGTGCACTTTGGACGCTTAAGCTAAATTGTTGTCCAAGAAGGTTGGCCACTTCTTGCGCATTTTGTGCTTACCCGCACACTATGTACAAAGCAGGAATTCCTCGGTTTATCCAACTAAGTTTGTTTACTTGCCTATATGGCAGCTTGGAGTTACGACAAAATCATCGTAAGGTCTCATTGCTACTTTACTCTATCTTCCAGGAAGAGTTTGAGGCAGTTGTTATTTGTGTACTCGCTCGGAGAGGCTACGTGGGAGAGTCAAGCCGTGGCCCTCAATGCCATGAATTTATGTGTCGTGTCATTTGGGAACGACTTCTTATTTTTCAATCGATTGGCTTATTTTCCGACATGGTTGCCACGAGCATGTTGAATCTGTTGAGAAATTCGCTACATGCTACCTCAGGGGACCATTAGGCTAGGAAAGACCAGCTTGCTGCACCCATGAGGTTGGACAGGTTATCATAGTTGATCATGACGTGAAATTCCTCGGTAAACTTTTTAACTTATTCTGCGTCGCACATGCAGCGGAACACTAATGTCACCTGATCGATGCAGTCCAAAGGGTTGTACCCAGTCACTGTGCCAGTCATGAGTTCCTCTTTAGTAAAGCGATGTGCAAATGGCCGATTTGTTTCCTGTCATAAAAAGCGTTGGAGAAGTGCTATGGTTATACATCGGTGGAGCAGTAGATAGCTCTTGCGGTTCTGTCTTGAATTGCTTGCCGAGGGTGGCCGGAGTT